GAAACTTTGATGATATATTCCATGTTTGATCAACCAAAGTGTTACATTATACTTCGTAATTTATTAGATTCGAAAATGTTTGATGATAATATCCATGTTTGATCACTCAAAAGTGTTTACATTATACTCTGTTTAAAGTTTAAACAAATCCCGTGGTAACATAAAAAGCCTCACATTTTGTTTGTTTCGCTGGTTTATTGAGAACCGACGCTTGCTTTACCGGGTGAGTTAGGAGACCGAGCCAAGCTAAAGCTACTAGAGCAGCCACTAACCTTTGAAGCTGACCTACGGCTTCTCACTAACGGAACCAGTGACTGCACCACATCAGCCATTAATGGTCTGTAATCAGCTTCTGCTTGAACACACATTGCTGCTATTGCTGCAACTTGAACAACCTCTTTCGTCGAGTACTGTCCTTCGAGTGTTGGATCCATTATGTCTACTACTTTGTCTCTATCAGCCAGTTGAGGTAAAGCCTGGAGAAAGGAAATGAAAAGAGACTAGAGTAAAGAAGAAACAAAATGTTGATTTCAGTTATGGGAAAAGACGCGTACCCAAGATACAAGAACTCCTTCTCCTGTAGCTCTCTTCATATCTACTGGAACTCTTCCGGTTAGCAACTCTAACAGGACAATTCCGTAGCTATAGACATCTGATTTTGTAGTCAAGTGACCGGTTAAAGCATACCTGACAAAGAAAATGAAGAAATGGGTATTATTAGTGTTCAAGTTTTTGAACTCTTAAACGGATGGAAGAACAAAGGAATTGATTGAGCGGAAACATACTCAGGAGCAACATATCCTTGCGTGCCTAATACACGGGTAGAAACGTGTCCACCGGCTTTGTCAGATCCAACTTTAGCCAATCCGAAATCTGAAACTTTGGCGTGGAAGTTTCTGTCCAGCAGAATATTGCTGCTCTTAAAATCTCTGTGAATCACAGGGGGTGATACAGTTTCATGGAGATATTCCAAGCCTTTTGCAGCTTCCAGAGCTATTCTCATCCGAGTTTCCCAATCTAATCTCTGTGGGACAGAATCAGACCCTAGATGCAACAACAAAAAAAGATATGTCTCTATCAAATCCAACAAGAATTCCACACACCAAATTTGTAATTACTTTCAGAGAAACTCAATACAGTAATATAGGATTCATGTTCAAAATGCTATCACCAAAAGGATAACTTCTAACACGCCGCAACTTCTACCATCACTAAAAGAATGAACTTACTGTTGGTAGGATACAAGTGTTCCTGGAGACCACCATTTGCCATGAACTCATACACAAGAAGTTTGTGACTATTGTCTGAGCAATAACCAAGAAGTGCCAATAAATACGGTGAGCGAAGACGACTCAGTAACTCAACCTGTCACAGGATACGAATTAGTAATCAATCGAAAACTCTGCGAACAGTAAACGTTCTTAAGCTTGAATAGCAAAAAGATCAGTGGCTAAAAATAAACAACCTCCATCTTGAATTCTTCTTCTCCTTGCTTTCCTGCATGATCCATAAACTTGATAGCAACTTTTCTCCCATCGCTAAGCACGCCTCGATAAACCAAGCCAAATCCACCGTGTCCAACCACATTAGACTTGCTAAACCCACCAGTTGCTGAATGTAGCTGCTTGAATGTGAAAATCTGCAACCCATTATCAGTAACATCTTGTAGATTTTGACAATCTCCTTTCTCCTCCTCACAATCAAATCCTAAAAACCAGAACGAACCCAATCAGAATAAATACCGGAGCAAAAAATCGAACCCTAATTGGAAAATCAGATTACAACATTTCTTGCAAATATTCATTATTTAAGTAACAATTTCTCAGTATCCGGCGAAAGCAGAGGGCTTTTAAGAACAAGAAATTGCAGGTAAAAAGATAAGAACAAACTCGTTTGATTTTAGAGAAAGATAGAGAAATTGATTTCTAAATTAGAACTTACTCTTGTTAATTCTGTGACGTTTAGAGACTCTGTTACGAATATAGCAGTAGTAGCTAAAGGCGACGAACAAAGACGATAAAGCAAGACAAGCAAGAACAACAATGGCTACAAGTGCAGCACGCTCTTTCTTTTGGTAAGCTTCATCTGTCTCCATTCTTTTCCCCTCTACAATAAAGAAGAAGGCTTTATGGGTTTCAAGAAATGGGAAAAACGAGAAATGCGAAAAAAAAACCTAACCCTAGAAATTGCCACCCAAAAGGAGGAGGAGATGAAATCGAAACAGTGAGAGAGCTTTGGGTTTCGTGAAAATTAGTTTTTGTGTTTGTGTGTGTGTGAATGTCAGCTTCACTGACTCACTGTACTGTCTTGTTTTGTGGCGCGGGGAATAGTTGATGGGATTGTGTGTATTCACGTGAACTTCCAAATTCGACCCTATAGTTTCGTTTTGTGCATTTTAGTACCTTCAGAGTTGATCAAAAGCCAAAATTGAATAAATACATGATTAGAGATTGCTTTAGATGTCGATTGATCAAATAACTTTTCACAATAGATTCTTCTAAAATCATGAATTTGTAGAACTAGTGACATTAATGCAAAAGAAAACCAAGGGATTATTTATAGTGACAAGCGGTGGTCAAAACAAGCTTTTTTTGTTTTCTTACATCATAAAAGATTCCTCGCAGAACTCTACTAAGCCATTAAACAAGGGCATATATAGATAGATAGATTGTTTCTATATCATATGAACTGGAGAGAAACCGCGATTAGCTTTTTCTTTTCACCTTAAGGAGCTTTGGTTTACTACTTCTTTCCACGGAGTTTAGCACCGAGCGCTCTCTCTAGCTTAGCAAGGATCTGTTGGTTCGGGATTGCTTTCCCAGACTCGTATTCTTGGATCACTTGTGGCTTCTCATTGATCAGCTAACAGAACCAAAACATATCATCATATTAGCATCATGAATCCAGTTAAAATCCAACAGGGAACA